CGCCGGACGGCCCCGGGCGCGCGGCGCAGAGGCCGTAAGTATTCACCCAGCGGTCTTGGGGGTGGGGGTGGGGGTGGGGCCGGAGGCGGGAAGGAGCCCGGGCCTTGAGCAAACTCACAGGCACCTTCTTCATCATCAGAGTTTGAAACCACAGGGCCCCCGGCGACAGGGTGTTGGAGGGAATGAAGGCTCATTTGCCTAAAGGAAACCACACTTATAAATTTAGTAAAGTCCGAGGTCCTTTCCTAAATGTGGGAGCCCCCACTCCTTTCAAGACAGCACCCTCCTGATTCTGGTGACTGGCTACAGGATTGCAAGACACAGGTGTGTGGAAACTGCCTGGGCTTCTTACTAACTTTCCAGGTATCTCCACGATCATACTCTACCGAGTGCGAATATTTTTCTCTCCTGTTTTTAAAAATTGGCGTCTTAAATGCTATCTGCACATCAGCTGCAAACTAAAGGGGAAGAGGGGATGCGATGTGGGGTGGATGCGATGTGTGCATCCCGGCAAAACTCCCAGATAGGCCAGAGGAGCGCGACGGAGCGAGGAGGTGACTCGGTTTGCTGTCCCCGACGTTGCTCAGTGCTCCACGCAGGAGCAGACAGGTACGGCTGACTCTCCATCTTCGGTTCAGGCATAACCGTTGGTTTCCTGGAGACATTTATTATGCCAAGTGTTGGGGTTGCTCTGCCGCCCAGTGGAGTGAGCTTCGGCAACCCAACACCCCAACAGCTAGCGTGTGAGACGTGATCGCCTCCGAAGAACTGCTCGGTGAGATGGATCTGTCCACACGGTTTCATCTTCGGTTTCTCCTTTTCATCAACTTCTAGTCGCGGGAAAGACAAATGCGGGTTGCTAATGTGATGTGTGAGCTGCAGTTCACAGGATAACCAGGAGTTGTGTTGTCTTCTGCTCACGAATGTGTCATTCCAACACCAACTAACTACAATTCAGTTTAATTCAATTCTGACACTAAGTAGTCAGAGCAGATGCCCCGAATCTGTCCTCACTTTAGGAGCGAGCCATAAGGAGGGTCCCTAGGTACCCACATTCTTCCCAGCTGACTACAAATTTGGGGTTCCCAAAACTTCTCTCTGTGCCGGGTTCAATAATTCACTAGAATGACTTGTAGAACTCATGGAAATGGCTATACTTAACGATTACAGTTTTGTTATAAAGGATACGACGCAAACAGCCAAATGGAAAAGATGCACAAGGGAAGATATCGGGGCGTGCGTCTCGTTGCATGGAGCTTCCATATCCTATCTGGGTAGGTCACCCTTCCAGCTCCTCAATGTGTTCACTAATCTGGAAGCTCAACAAAACATGTCGTTCAAGAATTTTTTTTTTCGGGCTTCATTGCGTAGGAATAATTGATTAAATGATTGGCCATCGGTGATTGAATTCAGCGCCCCAGAGATGGGAGTGGGGTGGGCCCGGACGTTCTAACCCTCTGATAGCATGGGTGGTTTTTCTGGCACACAGCTCCCATCCTGAAACTATCTAGCGGTCCTCACCAGGAGTCATCTCATTAGCATATAATTGGCACTCTTATTACTTGGAATTCCAAGGGACTTAGTCGCTCTATGCGAGGAACCGGAGACGAAGACTAAATGCTGATTTTTTATTAGGCCACAGCAGTTTAAGTAGCCTCCGTGGCAGCCCAGGAAGCTTGCTGTTCAAATCTCCTTCCAAAGAGTTGCTATGAAGAGCGTAGTCAGGGGACAGCCCCAGCCGCCACCCTTTCGGGTCCATTACACTCCTTTCCGCTAAGAGCACACTTCCTCTGCACTCTCCCTAGCCAGTGCTGGAGCATTCCAGGATACTGGTGCCGGCCCGTTGCTGGCCCACGTGGGACCCCTCCATTTTGCCAGAGGACTCCGTATTCATTGACCTATCCAGAATTTCCACAGAAGTGAATAGCAGTCTGAGGCTCTTCCTGCTCAATCCTCTCTCCCCTTCTCCTTTTGTAGGTATTAGACCTCATGTGCTCAAGGCTTTCCTTGCCTTCTGCTTGTCTGACACCTCTTTAATCCTCTGCAGGCGGTCTCCCCAGTACATCTCCTGCTTGTCTAATCCCATCTCCAGGATGCGTTCATGCCATTTAGCATCTACAGGCAAAAGCTTATTAGCCCAATCTTGATGTCTGCTTCTCGGCGAAACCAAATTTACATGACCTTTAAGATGCACTATGCCCTAGACCCCAACAGCTTAGACACTACGTCTGTGTCCTGAGGAGAACCACTCTGTTTTCTAATTTCCTTCCTTGGGGCTCTGGGGACATTCCCTAGCCTTCTTACTCTAACCTCGGTACTTCCCACAACTCTTCATGCTACGGGTAAGGAAATAACCCTAGTAATACTTTTTGTGCCTTGATTCTCAAACTCTCAAAAGAGAATTAGAGGAGAGTAAAGGATGGCTTTGAAGACCACTTATTAATGGCCAACCCTGGGGTTTCTCTCTTTCTCCTTAAAGAGCACTGTGGCACATTCGTATTAAACATTTTGTAAATATAAGATGGATGGAATGTAAGGTAGGATATATGATAACATAATCATTAAGTTACAGTATTCGATTTTTAGAAACATCACTATTTAATCATCGTCATGTATATTCTGAACCCTGAAGTATAATTTCTGTCTAAGGCAGATGACCGAAAACTTTTTACGTCATTCTTGACTCACCTTCTTTGAACCTAAACTAGCCACATAAAATAGTTTTAAATTGAGTACAAGTTTTTACAGACTTACAAGAGTTTATAAAAACGGCTTTCGCTAGTTCTTCACTGCAGTGCTCCATATTTTCCTTCCGTCTCTTCATATGACTGTGAGAAAATAAGCTTTTGCCTGCAGATGCTGAATGGCGTGAATGCATCAGGCTATTATGCCTTCCCAGAGATGGAGAATCAAGTAATGCCAAACTTCCTTTTAGTGCTATGAAATAATAGCACATAGAAGAGAAAGTCTGTGATTGAGTCTAATGAGTACTCGATGGCTCAATATAGATGGCTATTCATCAGGGGTCTATTGAATGTAATATCCAGGCAAGGCCCCTGAGCAGTCAGAAAGTTTATTTAAAAAAAGATAGAAATTCATTAAATAGTATCTGTTAAATACTAACTTTCTGAAAATGATAAGGCTTGATGAGCTGGGTAGGCAGCTCAATGATTGCCAGATTCTACTTCCAAACTAATCAATAGATCTCTGCCTATATGACTTATTTTTGAACTCAGAAGTGCGATGCAGCGTTGCAATGTCGCAGTAGCATAAAGTGAATCAGTCGTGACCTCAAATACTTAAACTGGGTACCCTGCGAGACTAGAACCAAAATAGCCATTCATAATTCGAATTCTCAGGTCTCGAACTCTTAACCTTGTGCTAAGCATGTGACCTACACTAATAAGTTCTCTTCGCAATAAATACTTTGCCACTTTACAGATGAAGAAACTGAGTCTGGAGAGGTTAAATGATATCCCAAGGTTTCATGGCTTTTTTAGTCACAGAAACAGCACTCGACCACGAGCAAATCTGCAAAGTTAGGACCCTGAACATGACCTGGAGCTGCAGGAGGGCGTGACGCTGCAGCCAGCTAGTTTCCTATCAGTGGCCACACTTTCACATCAAGAAAATTGAACTTCTGTAGGCTAGTGGCACTATAGAAACAGTGAGGTGACATTCGTTTACAGCTTTAACACGATCTGGGCAGAGGAGTTGTGTGTAAGAGCAAAGTTTTTCTGGGGATCCTTTTTTTTGAAAAAAATGACAGCGTTGTGGCCTCGTATTAGAGCAATTCTCTTACTGTCACTGTTTCTGAGCAAAACCTGAATGACATATTGCCTTCTGGTGATCAGATTTCTGCCCATAGCCTTGAGCAAGTGATTCGTGTGATAGTCGTGACCCTGTACACGTATGGGTATATGTGAGCTTATATATAACTGAAAAAAAATTCACAGAACGGTTTTCACCCTTGCTGTATGTGATACACTCTCAAAGTTTTCTCTCCTTATTCACTAAAAATAAATTTTCCATTAGTGTGATACCACCTACAGTTTGAAAAGCACCGTTCTATACATGGCAGAAGAGATTATTGCAGTACATGGAAAGAAAAGACATTTTGGTTTGATTAGATCAAATTTACCTTCCAGTTTATGCAGGAGGGTAGAAATTATGGTTCTGTTTATAGTGAATTTCCAACTCTTCTGCGCTAGATTTCACTCTCGGTATGGGATGCATTTGCAGTCTGCCAAGTCTTGGGGAGTAATCATTTTTGTTCAAATACAATATCATTGAAAATGAGTGGGCATTTCTCAAAAAGCCTCTGACAGCTGAAACAGTGAAACAATAAATCAACAGGATGATGAAAGCCTGAAAACACATAATACCTATTATAACCAGTAGACACATAGCAGAAATGAGAAAAAAAGAAACTTAACGCAATTATACATTAAGGTTACTTACTTCAAAGTCAGCAGAGTGCTGTAAGGTTATACATATACTTAAGGTTAATTGCATCTATTCAGAATGTACTTGAATCTGCAACAAAAGCTTAACAGGAAAAAAAATCATCAAAGGGAGAAGACTGCATTTGAAGGGTCTGTTCTCTATCAGAGAATCAACCGATGATGGTTCCTTTGTTCTGTAATATTTGTAATTTTTCCCCTAAAAATGAACACATAAAAGGCAATCCATTAAAGTCCTGTAGAAAAACTGAAGACATTTACCATCATTAAAACCCCAGGCTAGTATTGCCCCAGTGGCTGTTTTATTACGGAATGAGCGAGAACAGAAATCCTGTGCTATCTAATCTTGTATAAAAATCTGAGCCCTAAATCTTCACTTTAAATATTTCCTCATTAAAAATCTTTGGAGTATGTTTCCTTGATTGTAAAAGTAAAGTCAGATCTGCTTTTAATAAACACTCAAACATTGCACAACTGATACACAAAAAGTCCCCTGCAATTCTGGGCTTCAGAATTAAACACTTCAAACAATTGGATACAAAGACATTTTTTTTTTTCTAACATGTAGGTTGTGCTCTTTGACTACGCCAAGTAGAAAGTCTGAAGGCCATTATGCCCTTAGATTTTCACCGCCAATAGAGGGTGACAGGTAGGAGAAGATGTGTTCTCTTTCTAACCCTTATTTTAAAACGCGATTGCTCTTTATTATATAGGTAGACACTGTTTTCCACATTGCCTTATTATTTAGTCGTACAAGGAAACAGTTCTTGTTCTGACTGTGATACTTTTTCCAAAAATGTTTACCTGGCTATCCAATCGCGAGACAAACCTTCATTTCCTCAAATTCAGATTGTGAGGCCATCTATAAATTCTGTAAGACAGTTTACCTGGGGTGTCAGTCAGGGTTCTTCAGAGAAACAGAACCAACAGTATATATGTTAAAAGATGTATTATAAGGTATTGGCTCACGTGACCGGGGAGTGGGGGGTGGCGGAGGAGTCCCATGATCTGCCATCTGTAAGCTGGAGACACAGGAAGGCCCGCGGTGCAGTTTGAGGCCACAAAGCCAGAAAACCAACGGTGTGGATTCCACACCAGGTCTGAAGGAAGGCCTGAGATTCTGGAGCACAGAGGGCCGGTGATCACTGTTTCAGCTCACCAGTCAGACAAACAGTGGTTTCAGCCTTGCTCGGCCTTCTCGTTCTGTTCATGAAGGCCTTCTGTGAACTGAAGGATGCTTAGTGTAATGTACATTACAGAGGGGCATCTTTGTTCAGCTTATCGATTCAAGTGCTACTGTCTTCCAGAAATACCCTCATGGACATATCTAGAAATAATGTTTAATCAGATATCAGGGCATCCCGTGGCCCAATTAAGGAGACATAAAATTAATCATCACACCTGACATTCAAAAATGTCACTCATGAAAGGAAGAAAAAAGTCAAGGAACTGATTAGATTATAAGAGTCTAAAGAGACATGGCAAACAATGGGTGTGACTGGATTGTGTATGTGACTGGATCTAGGAAGAGGTGTGGGTAGGGAAGAATATTTAAAAAGGAACATGTTAGAAATTTGAATATAGACCTAATATTAGACAATCTTGTATTCACATTAAATTCTTTGGATGTGATAACATTATTACGTTTGAGTAGGAGAATGTCTTTGTTCCTGGGAGATGCCGGAGTATTTAGGGATGACGTGCCATAACTCCGCAGCTTACTTTCATGTGGTTCAGAAAAAGATTAAGAAGAGGAGAGAGAGAAAAAGAAAACGTGGCAAAACATTAACAATTAGTAATTGACAAATTAC